TTTCAGTCCTTGGTGGGCAGCCTCTTGTACGCAGCAGTTCACACGAGGCCCGACATCTCTTTCTCAGTTGGGCAGCTGGCTAGGGTGGTGCAGAATCCATCAGAGGAGCAGGTGGATGCAGCTGAGCGTGTGGTGAAGTACCTGAACTCTCACCCAAGCATTGGAGTTCAATACTCCGCATCTGCACAGGTGAAGCAGAAAGGGGTGGAGGTGCTGAAAGAGAAGGGGGAGAGGCTTGGAGAAGGCAAGCTATTTCTCACTTGCTTTACCGATGCTACGTGGGCTTCTGAGAAGGAGGATTCCTCATCTGTGGGAGGATACATCTGCGTAGTTGGGGGAGGACCTGTTAGTTGGAGGTCCAAGAAGCAGACGGAGACGGCACTCTCTTCCGTAGAATCAGAGTACATGGCGATGTTCCATGGGGTGAAGGAGGTGATTTGGCTGAGGAGGCTGTTAGAGGAGATTGGCCAGGAGCAGAAAGTTGCTACGCCGCTGTTTTGTGATAGCAAGGGGGCTCTTGGGATGGCCAGGAACGCTGTGCTTCATGGCCTGAACAAGCACATGCGTATCAAGTGGCACTGGCTGCGTAAGGAGGTGAAGAGGGGGACGGTGAATCCAATCTACATCAAGACTCACCAGCAGCCAGCAGACTTTCTCACCAAGAGGCTTGCGGATGAGCCTTATTGGCGTTGTGTGCGCATGAGTGGAATGAGCATGAACTAGCATGGAATGACGGGGATGCAGCCGGCAGGCTGAGGGGGAGTGTGTTGGGTGCAAATGCACATTGCACGACATCCTGCCGTCTGTTTGTACGAGTATGCGTGTGCGAATGCATTTGCGTGTGAATGGTGTGTTCGTGTGTTTGTTTGCTTTCGCATTTTTTCGCTTGATGCATTTGCAGGTACTCGCGCAATGTGCGCTTTGGCACAACATTGTATGCGCTATGAACAGTGCAAGCAGAAAGGACGAGCTCGCAAAGGAACCCAAGATGGAAGCTTTGCAGTTCGGTTGAGTTGATTGCGCAGATTCAGTTCTATCCAACTCGAAATTGTACTGTTTTGTTTGGTTAACTATAGTGTAGCAGGGAAGGCACTATAGGGGTACAATTTAGGTGAAGGTTGGATGTTGTTTGTCTGTATCTGCATGCTACAAGGCCAGGGGAAACCAGCGGAACCAGCATTTGGCTGGTTGGGCAAAGACAAAACAGGTTCTGTTTTTAGAACCTGAACCTGGTTGTTGTTTTCCCAGGTTGGAAAAACAGAACCAGAGGTTGTTTACCAACCTACCACCTGCTATTTTGTCCAGCCAGGTTGGTTCTGTTGCTTGGAATTATTTGGGATCATCCCTGGTTGTTCCCAGGTTGATTCCCAAGGTCCTTGCTAGCTAGAACTATTTAATCCTTCTCTGTTTGTACCTGAATATAGTCAAATTGATTCATGTGAATTCCTTCCTCGCTGGAATTTCGTTTCTGCGCTATTCGACGGCGGAATGCTACCCGAGTCAACGCTAGTATGCTAGCACTCCAACGCTAGGCAAACGCTGTCCGAGCCATAACTTAGTAATGGCAGAACTTTTCGCGAGGCAACTTGGCTCATTTTAAAGCTCTTGGAGCGAGCTTCGATATAGCGAATTCTCAGCTTAATCCGATCGACGGTCTGCACGGCACGCTGCGCGACGTTCAAGGTACTCTTGCTGTTTTGACTAAGTCCTTCTTGATCCCTCTCTCTACAAACTCGGACCCGAGGATAGGGGCTGGTCTTGTACCAGGCACCCAGGGACCCTTGGAGGTGACCCCGAGGAGAGGTTTTAAGTTTGATTAAGTCCTAATAGCTTGAGTTTATTAGGCCCTTACACCAACACACCTGGTCCTCCCCACAGCCCACTCCGCTAGCTACAGGTCACTCGCACTCAGCTCCACCTTCGGACGAGTCCGTAGAGCCGAGTGGTCCTTACGCAGAGCTAGTGGGCTGCCTCATGTACCTGATGACCTGCACTCGACCTGACCTCGCGTACCCTCTTGGCCTTTTGGCTCGCTACGTGGCTCCTGGTCGTCACCAAAAGGTACACATGGATGCTGCAAAGAGGCTTGTGCAGTACGTCGGGCATGGGGCTTGTGCTTGGAGGACGGAGAGACGTTGTCCTCACTGGACACTCTGACGCGTCTTGGGTTGACGACCAGGCTATACAGCGGTCGTCACAGGGTTACACCTTTAGCCTTGGCTCTGGCTCTGTTTCGTGGCGGTCCACGCGCTCGTCTTCTGTTCTCAGCTCCAGTTGTGAGGCTGGGATCTACGCCACAGCCATGGCTGCACAGGAGTTACGCTGGCTCACCTACCTGCTGACTGACTTGGGAGAGAGGCCTCGTTCTCCTCCAGTTCTGTACGTCGACAACAAGGCCGCGATTGCCTTGTGTCAGGAGCACAGACTGGAGCACAGAACGAAGCACATCGCTCAGCGTTACTTCCTGGCTCGAGAGTTGCAGCAGCGAGGTCAGCTTCGTCTTGCTTACGTGGCCACTCAGGCCAACACTGCTGATATATTCACCAAGGCACTTCCGTCTGGTGATCATCAGCGTTTCTGTACTTTGTTAGGCCTTGTGCCTACGTTTCCACACTTGCTGCAGACTTGATTGTGCTGTGACATATATATATTCCTGCATGCTTGCTCTTGCTAGGTAGTGATCACTGTGCTGTTCTTGTTCCACATATATCTCTGCATGTGAACTGGCCTTGTGGCCTCTTGCTTGTGCTCAGTGTGTGTGGTGACGTTGTGATCCACCCTGAGCTTGCTTTGCTTCTCTTGACTGGTCTTGTGACCTCTTGCTCTCCCCCACTTTGCCTATGGGGGTGTGTCAAACATATATTTGTATGTTTTATACATGGTAGACTATAGTGGGGTAAACCCTATAGGGTACCCCTTAGGGGTTTCTTGTACAATTTCTCTCGATAGTTGAGACACCTTCTTCCTTGCCTAGTCTTAAGAACCCTCGACATTCCGCGTGCTCTATATGAGCTATTGCGGTACTGGTACAGTGAAACAGCTTCAGGAATGCTTATAACCTTTCGGTTATTCCAACAGATACTAAGGGGTACACAATTCTAGAGTTTCATATTTGTATCGCACACTTTCCTAGTTCATTCATTCCTCAATTGTCAAACTTTCCTAAAATAGAGGCTCGGAACGAGTTGTAAGAGTCCCGGGCAGGCCCTCAGATTCGTTTTTGGCCTGTCTGATTCATCAGACTAGTACTCAATTTTAGTCTGAACCCCTCAGAGTTGGTATAAAAAAAAGGCTGAAATTTCAGAGTGCCTTAATAAAAAAGTCTGAAACATCAATGTATCTAATGTTTCAGCAGAAAAGTAGTCAATGTTTCATCTAATACTGAAACATGCTAGACTAAGGGGATTTTCGGGAGAACATGCCCCGACAGGGCGAATTTCTGTGTCAGGGCGAATCTTGTGGTGTGAAAGGGCGAATCTGCAATGTCAGGTGGAAGTTCTTGGTGATTGGTCGAAATCATTGTTCTCGGACAGCGCAAATCTGTTGTGTCAGGGCGATTTTGCTGTGATTGGGCGAAAATTTTGTGCTGTAAGGCGCGGATTTGCAGTTTCAAGCCGATTTTGCATTGACCTGTAAAGTCCGAACCGAATCACCAGTCAAGAATACAAGCAGACAACGGAGTAGGTGCGCGTTTGTACTCGGAGTGATCAGAGTACACTCCAGGGAAACTCTGAAACGTCAGAGTTAGCTCTAAAATTTCTCTGAAAATTAAAGAGTTGGGGCCCAAAAATCTCTGATTTTAACAGACCTCACTTCAAAAAATTCTGAATTCTCAGAGTTTTTCATGCAAATCAGAGAAATTTCTCTGACTTCTGGGGGCCTGGTCCCGGGTACAACTAATAATCATGTACACTTATGCGATTTAGGGGTGTACACTTGAATTTGAAAGGGGGGACGACGGGGGGGGGGGGGGGGGGGGGGGGGGGGGGGGGGGGGTCTTATGTTCGAACCTAAAAAATCTCGCGTGCGCGAAACTCGCGCGAGCGGCGCGTCAGACGCGTCAGATTTCACATCTCACATGATTGGTGTGTCAGAACCCGAATCTGTCACAAATGACGCGTCAGATTTCGGATTCTGTGCCTCTAAAAGCTGACGCGCATTCTCAATTTTGACTAGTGTTTACAGAAAAGGGGGGTCTTAAAATGTTTTATAGCAAAAGGGGGGTCCTCTCATATAGCATACATATTAAGAGTCCCAGACCCGACCATAAGTCCCGGGGGTCTTTTTTTCGGGGGGGTCCTATATCCGGGAGAATACAGTACAAGGGATACAACGAGATTCTGTACTCCCTAAAGCCTAGCATTTTTCTAGCCTATAAATAAACATATACGGTATATAAACATACCTTTTAAGACATGGGTGGTTACCCCTATATTATGGCAATTTTAGCCCTGTCCAAGGTCGCACACGCAGCTATCCTAAACCTCCCAATCCACTCTGCATCATGCCTCCTATGAAACTCGGCCTGATCTGAGTTGCTAAAAATATAGTACAGCACCCAAACGGAAATTACAGATTCCTCTTGTAAAATCATACGCCAAAGTAGGCGGATGCAAAAACAGCAGTGGCCGCAGCACTCCAGGCAAAAGAGGGCCGGTGGGCATTGCCTTTCCTGGGAGGAAATGCCGGACGGCTGCAGGGGTGTGGGCAGTGGAGAATTGGGGCGGTAGTGGTGGTAGTCGTGGTGGTAAGCGGGGGATGGTTGTGGATGATGGAGATGGGTGGGAGGAGGAAGAGAAGCAGGACGTACTTGGAGTGCTTCCAAATGGAAGAGAAGAAGGCAGCATCAAGTGGCCAAAACATGGCTTGGAAAGAGAGCGAGAGAGAGGGAGAGAGAAAGAGATGAGAGAGAGTGAGAGAGACAGAGAGAGAGAGAGAGAGGGGGGGGGGGGGGAGGGTGGAAGGGAAGGAGTGTGCATGGCATCGTAGAAGCGACTGACCAAAGAGAGCGCAGAAGAGCAGCCCAGAGCCAAAGCCCAGAGCGTTGCCAGCGACTCCGTCTGAGCGCTCTGAATCAAACAGAAGGCCTGCCCATGCCATGCCCGACGCGGAGGGGAGGGGAGGGGGGGTGGGGGGAGGGAGGGGAGTGGAGGAGGGGAGAGGTGGGGTGGGGAGGACGGCGAATCCAAAGTGGATTTCAACAGTGGGGAGGAGGATGCGTCAGAAGGGTTTGCAAGCATGGCACATTGTTTGTTTCGGCTGAATGGTGCCAGCAGCCACCAGCGCGGCTGTTTGGCTGACTTGAGTGGGATTCACTTGACTGGTGCAGTGCAGCTGGCTGGTTGTGCGGAGAAAGCCAGCGCAGGGAGAAAGGCAGCGCAGGGAGAAAGGCACCGCAGGGAGAAAGGCAGCGCAGGAGAAAGGCAGCGCAGGGAGAAAGGCAGCGCAGGGAGAAAGGCAGCGCAGGGAGAAAGGCAGAGCAGGCAGAGGACCGCACTAGTCAGCCGTGGCGGAAGCGGGCTTGGCATGGAAAATGATTCGCGAGAGATGAAGGGCAAACGCTGCTTCAGCGCCGCTTGAGCGGCGCTTCAGCGCAGCGCTGGTTCAACGTTGTTGCAACGCACCGTGGCGAAAAGAGCAGCGGCTGTGACCCCCGCTCCCAGCGAGTACATGCAGCCCGAGCGGCTGTCTGGGGGGAGGACGAGGTGGAACGAGTGGCGGGAAGGAAAACGAGGCGAGGCAGGGGAGGTAGGGGAGGCGGGGGGGAACGGGGGGAAGGCAGGGCGGGACTTGAGAACGGATTCGGGACCATGAACTGACGGAACGCAACGGAAGAGACAGATAGGAGATTTATATCTCCATGGTAGATACGGCGCCTCCACACATGCGAGGCGCTTAGCTCGACAGCTCGGATCCGATGAGGGGAACGCTGCCCGTGCGGATGTGTGGGGGAACGAGGGGCGCGGCAGCTCACATCCGAAGAGGCCGCCGAACAGCAGCGTAGCGCCGTACGCTGCTGCCGTCAACTCCGCGGCATCTCCCAATGCCGCCGTCGCCGCCATCGCCCCACCGCCGCCGCCTCTCCGCACGGGCTTACTCGCTCCCCCGAGAGATCCCGCCGAAAGCCCGCGCGGGGGGGGCTGCACGGCGGGAGATCCGTGAAGCCACGAGGAGCCCCGCGGGGCAGCAGCGGCGCGGCGGGTCGCGGCGAGGGAGGCGCATGGCGCAGCGGAGATGGAAGAAGGGGAGGCGGACGTTGACGGGGACGTAGCTGCGCTTGTGACGGCGCGGTTGCTGACGGCGGAAAGGCTCGAGGAAGTGGCAGTGAGAGCCATGGGGATGGGGAAAAGCACGAACGAGGCTGGGGATGGGGAATAAGCGCGAACAAGGTTGGCGGCGAAGGAGGCGCGAAAACTGCTGCGGGCGAGGGTTGACTGGAAAGGACGCATAGGTGGGAGGCGGATTCGAGGGGGAGAGCTCTGTTTGGGTATTTACAGAGTTGTCAATCGTAGTAATCCGCCTCCCCGTTAAAGCAAGGGTGCACATTCCTAGGGGTGGTTTTTGGGGGTATATTGGTGTACACCCAATGTTTCTTGCTGATTCGCGGGCGAAGTGCCACTTTGCTGGAAAGCTGGTTCCAGGTGGGGAAACAAGACTCGCGAGTCCACGCAGTTTCGTTCATTGTTCGTCTAGGGGAACGGGCACGCGCCAGGGCGGAACTCAAGCCCTCAGCGCAAACAAACAAGCGGAGATGAAAACATGTTCCCGTATTCTCACAAATTTGAGCAACACATAAGGAAGCGGACATGCCGCCGTCGCGCTACGTACAATGTAAGCAGTGCTCCAAAACTACATAGCACATAGCAGAGTGTCGGGACCCACACGTCTTTAGGGTTACGGCGTAGCAAAACGAAGGGCGCCAGCACGGCCGGAGCGCGTCGTCACCAGGCATGCGACTCGTCTTTCTCCCATCGTTCCTGCGCGAGCGCGTTGGCGTAACGTAGACGACCTACTATGTTACGAGAGCATAAATCAGTGCTCTCCCACTCGCCGAGAGCAGTGCGCCTCATCCTCAGCGCGGAAAATGAAAATCTCGCCGATGGGATAGCATCACGCCCAGTCCGCGCGGCCTCCAGTGCCGCCTCCTCTTTGCCGCCGAATCGCCACCTCGCCTTCCCATCCCACAACGCCACCACAACACCCTCTCGTCGTGGCGCTACTACGTCGCCGCCGCCACATCGGAGCCTCGCTGCCACGTCGCCGCCTTGCCGATGTAAGCTCCACATCGCCGCAGGATCGCCCCGCTGGATCGCCGCTGGATCGCCGTTATGCAATCGCCGCGACAAAGTTGCCGCAGCCACATCGCGGCCTCGCCGCGACTCCCCCTCAACGACACACCGCCTCCAGGTCCCCGCCTCGCCGCCTCATCACCCTCGCTGCCACGGTTTGCGAGGTGGTTTTTGAGAATCCCCAATGTGCACAGCGCTCTTTACCACCCCATTCCGCCCAGGGCACACGCCCCATTCCGCCCTTGGCGCACGCCCCATTCCGCGTTGGGCGCACGCCCATTCCGCGTTGGCGCACTCCATCATCGCTGCGTTGGCGCACGCCCATTCCGCCCAGGTCGCACGCCCATTCCGCCCTCGTCGTCACCTCCTTTCCTCCTCCCCCCTTTCCCTCCCCCCACTTCTCCCATCTCCTCTTTACCCCCACCCTCCTACTCCCAACTCCTCCCGTCCTTCACCCCTTCTTCCCCCCATTTTCCCCCCTGCTTCCCCCCATTTCCACCCCTGCTTCCCCCCATTTCCCCCTTTTTCCGCCCTCTTCCCCCCTGCTTTCCCCCATTTCCCCTCCTGCTTCCCTCCATTTCCCCACTACTACCTCGCATTACCCCCTTGTCGTGCCCTTATTTCCACCCATGCTTCCCCACGTTACTTCCCCTCTTTCCTCCCCATCTTCCCCTCATATCCATATCCAACCCCTCATTCCCATCACTCCTTCCCCTCATTCCCAATTCCCTGCTTCCCCTCTTTTCCTACCCGCTTCCCTCTTTTCCTGCCCTGCTCCCCTCTTTCCCTGCCCTGCTTCCCCTCTATTCCAGCCCTGCTTCCCCTCTTTTCCTGCCCTGCTTCCCCTCTTTTCCTGCCCTGCTTCCCCTCTTTCCATGCCCTGCTTCCCCTCTTTCCCTGCCCTGCTTCCCCTCTTACGCCTCGCCGCGTAAACTCGCGATCGCCGCACCATCGCCACCTCGCCACCTGGCTTATGCCATCGCCGCCACATTGCGGCCTCCCCACACCTACTCAACGGCGACGCGCCTCGTCGCCTTCATGGACGAAACCCTTCCCCTTCCCCCCCAGGTCGCGAGTCCCCTTTCCCCCAGGTCACACCTCCTGCCCCCTCACAGAGCACCTTCTCACTTCCTTACAATGCTCTACCCCCCGCCCCCCCCCCCCTTCTTTGCTTCATCTCCCCTCCAATTCCATATCTCCCCTATAAACAACCTGCCGCACGCGGGCAATTCCCTCTCGCCCCCCCCTACGCTCCCTTGCCTCCTTCCGCCGCTCTCCCCCCCGCCTCCCTTCCCCTCTCCCCATGCCCGTTGCGTGTGCGCCACGCTCCCGCAGGTCGCGTCGCGCCTCTTTCTCGTCCGGGCCATGCACTACCCCGCGCCGCAGGGGCACTTTCTACAGTCTCAGGTGTGCCACCGCTTGGTCAAAGCATGTGCATCAGGTGCACTACCACGTTCGGGGGAGGACGGGCGCCTAACACGGTCCTCCCTCCCTCATCCCCTCTCCTTCTCCTTCCATCCCGTCCTCCCATCCCAATCACCCCTCTCTCATCCCGAAGTCCGTCCTCCCCACTCTCTCATCCCCCCCTCTCCTCATCCAGGTCCCTTCTCCCTTATCTCATCCCCTCCACGTCCCCCCTCTCTCATCCCGTCCTCCCTTCTCTCATCCCCTCCACGCCTCTCTCATCCCTCCTCCCCTCTCTCATCCCCCCCTCCGCTCTCTCATCCCCGCCTTTCCTCTCATCCCCTCCTCCCATCGCTCCTCCTCCTTCCATCTCTCATCCCGTCCTCCCCTCTCTCATTCCCTCCATCCATCTCTCATCCCCGCCTCCCCAACACTCCTCCCCTCCTCCCTTCTCTCATCACGTCCTCCCCTCCCTCATCCCCTCCTCCCCGCCTCTTGTCGTGGTGCTCAATGAGAGACGGCAATCCATAGGCCATTGGGAGGGATGCCGGGGAGTGCGCGTGGCAGGTTGCATGGGTGGGGAAGAAACCAGGTGGGTGGGGGAAGCGCAGCCAGGAGAGTAGATGGCCAGATGCAAAGCTAGCTGCAGCGAATGCTCCCAAATGACTACTTTCCACAACGTGGCTGATCTTCCTGTGCTTCCACACAACACACCCCTCTCTCCTCTCATTACCCTTGCTCCCCTCGGTCCCTCATGTCCCCCCTTCCTTCTCCTGATTTCCCCCGTCCAACCCTCTTATTCCCTCTCCTCCTACAGCCTCTTTCACCCTCCTACCTGCTTCCCATCTTTGGCCCTCCCTGCACCACACTTTTTTCAACCCAACTCCCCTCGTTTCCCCCTCTGCCCACGGTTCCCCACTATTTCCCCCTTGTTTCGCCACATTTCACTATCTTGTTCTGCTGTGACCCCCCCTGCGTCCAGAAGCTCCTCCTCCTTCTTTCCCTCCAGTCGCCACCTGGTGGCCTTCACAGTCTCCACGCTCCCTTTCCGTAACCCCGCCCACAGAATGGAAGCACCTCCAAATACATGGTGCAGGTCACTGTGCTCGCCGCCATCCGTAACTCCCCTCCTTCATTCATGCCACTCTCCCTCCCTCATCCTTTCCTCACCTCTCTCGTCTCTCCCTCTCCTCTCCCATCCTGTCCCCCACTATTCTCCTCTATCCCCCTGTCCCCCTCTCTCCCTATGTCCTCCTCTGTCGGCACTGTCCTCCTCTCTCCTCCTTGTCCACCCATCTCCCTTCTCTTCCCCTACGTTCCCTTATTTCCCCACTCCGGGCCTTGCACTACCCCGCGCCGCAAGTGCGGCGTCCACTGTCTCAGGTGTGCCATACCCTGCACCAGGTGGAAAAGGCGTGTGCAAAAGGTGGAACTCAAGAGGATATGCGCCTCAAACGTGAGAGCCCCTCCCTCGTCCCCTACTCCACCCTCTCACCCCTCTCCCCAATCACGTCGCCTCCTCCCCACTCTCATCTCCTCTTTCCCCTCTTTCCATCTCACATCCCCTCTTCCGTTCGCTCCTCCACTCCTTCCATCTCTGACCGTGTCCGCCCCTCTCTCATCCCCTCGTCCCCTGTCTCATCCCCTCCTCCCCTCTGTCATCCCCTCCTCCCCTCCTCCCTCTCGCCCGTGTTCATCCCCTCTCTCAGCCCCTCCCTTCTCTCATCCCCTCCTCCCATCGCTCCTCCACTCCTTCCATCTCTGATCCCGTCCTCCCCTCTCTCATCCCTTCATCCCGATCCCATCCCATTCCCTCTCTCATCCCTGCCTCCCCTCACTCATCCCCTCCTCCCCTCTCTCGGCCCCTCCTCCCATCGCTCCTCCACTCCTTCCATCTCTGATTCCGTCCTCCCCTCTCTCCTCCCTTCCTCCCCGATCCCATCCCCCCCCCTCCCCTCCCTCAGCCCCTCTCCCCTCTCTCATCCCCTCCTCCCCTCTCTCCTCCCCTTCTCCCCTCTCTCATCCCCTCCCTCCCCTCTCTCATCCCCGCCTCCCCATCACTCCTCCCCACCTTTCCTCTCTTATCCAGTCCTCCCCTCTCTCATCCCGTCCTCTCCTCCCGCATCCCGTCCATCCCACCTCTTGTCGTGGTTCTCAATGAGAGGCGGCACTCCCAAGGCCAGATGTACTTTCTGTCAAGCTCACCCTGCACGTCACTCCTGCGCTGCCACTCAACTGACTACTTTCCAGAAAGTATGCTCTCTCCCCGTTCTTTCGGATCAAACAACCCTCACTCCCCTCAGCACCCCCCCCCCCACGCCTTACTACTCCGGATCCTCGCCCCGCTCCGCTACCATCCACCCCCTCATAACTGCGACGTGTCAAACACCGACTCACCCGGCTGATCCCGCCACTCTCGGTCAACCATGTCCCCAAATCCTTCCCCACATTTCCCCCCTCCAATCCTCTCATGCCCTATCCTCCTTCCCCATCTTTCCAAGTCTCTTTTCTAACCCTGCTTCCCATCTTATCACGATTGCCGACCCCAAAATCTTGACAAGTCGGTTGACCGCATCGGCCCGAGAGAGCCAGCGCACGTCGAACAGTCCCTGGTGTTCGAGGTTGGTGCTGTGGATCACGAGCTGTAGCTCCTTGAACCGCTCGTACCACGGCGTGGATCTCCCCACGATCTCGCCAACTGCACGGATGGCCTTGTCCACCATCCGGAAATCCTTGAACTGATCGGCTTCGGCAGTCTCCTTCACAGCAAGTGCTTCGCTGCAAGCACAAGTCGGAAACCCATAATAAGGTTGTTATAAGAATGATAAAAACAACTAGTGTTAAACCGGTCTTTAAAAATTAACGGCGACTACACACGTACCGATGCGCAATGCAGTGGCAGCCGAGAAGGTGAGGGACGTTCACACGCAGGCGCGTGACAAGTCCGGACGTGCCCCCGATCATCACTGTCGCGCCGTCCGTGGACATTCAAGAAATCCTCTGCAAGTCGATGCCCACTGTCTCGAGATGTTGGAGCAGTGCGCCCATGAGCGATGCCGCATCACATTGCTGTACGGTTAGTAACGCGAGGAACTCGGTTACAACCACGCCGTTCTTGAGAAACGTAACAAACACAATCATGTGTTTGCCACGGGCGTGATCCGTACTCTCGTCGCAGATTAGGCCGATGAAGGGCGATGCGTGGAGATGGCGCGTTTGCTCTCTGGTCAGATACACGGTGAGAGTCCTAGCCATCTCGGAGAATCCGTACCTGCGCATTCACATAGAACAACGCATTAGGCTCGTTAAACATAAACGGTCGCGTTAAATTCAAATAAGCCAACAACAACTCACTGCGTGATGTAGACTCCATAGCTTTGTCGCGGGATGTTGGCGACCCCCTCTTCTGCAAGAAGCTGCACGATCTGCGAGTACATGTGGATGGGTGTGTCGGTACGGCACACAAACCGCATGGCGCACATGAGTACCGCGACGCGACAGCCCTCCGGATCTCCCTTTGCGAAGTCTTCAATCTTCTTCTGGTTAACGATTTTCTGCAGAAGATTAGCCTGCTTGTTCATGGTGTCCTCGTGCTTCGCGCTGTTCTCATGCCACCTCATCGACCCGATCTGCAGATCACGACCGCCAGCGCCATTGCGACCGTACCGCGCGTTGTCCTTCCCGTGCTCCATGCAGACCCCCTGGCGTCTTGTCCAGAATCAGCCAGTCGAACTTCGGCAGCCAATCAGACGTGTAGCTCTTCTGCGCCTTCAAATACGCCTTCTCCTTCTTCTCCTCGTCTGTAAGGGGACGAATGGGGGGTGGGGCAGCACGGGGAGGTGGAGCGACGGGCTTCGGCGGCGGTGTTCCCCACTGCAAAACCTGCTGCGTAAAACGATGCTTCTTCACAGCGACTGAACCGGTAGACTCAGGAGTGGCCGCATCGACAACCTGCGTTGCAACCGTTTCAGCCGGCTCTGCAGCAACCTCGTTCCGCGGCGAGGCGATCCACTCCTCAACACCGTCCGACTCAGCAGCGTCATTCGTCGGGCGCGGAGAAGGACACCATTCGTCATTCGCATCTTCCATGCCGCCACATTCCTTGCGAGGACGGCGCATCCATGCGATACCGCCGTCGCCCAGCTCGTCTTCATCGCGCACGTTGTCTTCACGCACACCTCGGAGAAACTGAAGCCCAGTCGCAGGGGAGGTGCTACGTGTCGGCCTGTCGTCGGGATCTGCCGCGTCTCCCTCGGCGTCGCTAGTATCCATGGTGTTGATGGCGAAAACAAAGCTGAGGGAGCCGGGGCTGTGGCTGGAGAAGCCCTCAGAAACACACGCTGGACTGGGACGTTGAGGGGCAGCGTTGGTTGAAGAAACATAATGGGAGGGCACGAGGGGGGTTGGTGTGGTGACCCCGTCTGCCAGCCGAGCAACAGGTGGGGATGTGCGCGCCGCGCACGAATTCACTGCACCACAGAAAGCTGCCGTAACATGCCCGTAAGTTGGAGTTGTTCATTGCTGATGGTGTACGCAAGGCCAGCGCTGTATTAAGTGGGTGGCCAGTTGAGTGCGCTGGCACGAAATATGCCATTCCGGCCAATCGGAGCCTCAGTTTGTGCCAACACATGAGGGAAACAAGACTGATATCCCCTGCGCTCCGGCCCAAACCAGCAGCGAGGGTGTAAGGGGGAACGTGGGGGGTCGGGGGGGTACATGTATCCCCCGTTTAGAGTAAAATCACTATCCGAGAAAGAAACACTGGCGGTCCAGAGTGACCTTACACAAAAACCCTTGCTGATCAGAGAACAACTATTTCTCAAAAAAATTATCTAGCAGGTACAGAGTGCCCCCCTAAAAACCACTCTGATTTTCAGAGAAACAGAGTAAATTTCACTGATAAAAAAACCCCTGGTTGGGGTACACATACCTAACCCTATTAACTGTACGTACCCCACATAATATGTCTCACTACAGGCTATGACATTTGACAAACCCCCATAGCCTAAATGAGGGGTGTCATTCAACAACCAAACCGTACGGTCACAAGACCTGTCACAAAAAGAGAGCTCGGGGTGGATCACATCGTCACCACACAGCCCGAGCACAAACAAGATGCTGCAAGGCCAGTCCAGGAGTTCACAGAGGTATATGTAAAGAGTACAGACAACGCAAGCAGACAACACAAGTCTACACAAGACGAGAACATGTGTCAATGAGTCATACTGCACACAAAACATGTGGTGGTTTAATGTGGAAAAGGCCTGTCTGCAGTGTTGGCCTCGGAGCCCACCAAGTCCAGACGTGCATGTCCACACATCTGCAACTCTCGAAGAAGAAAGTACCTAATGCTGATGTGCTTCACTCTGCTCTTCAGTCGAGGCTCGCCATATAGGAAATTGATCGCCTTGTAAATAAGGTCGGTGCTAACGTCGTCGCTCACCAAGTTCAGTGAGCAAGGTCAATCAACGCAACTCCTGTGCAGCCATGGCTCCAGCGTAAATCACAACCTCAAAAGTAGAGGTCGAGACAGAGGAGGAACGAGTAGACCTCCACGACACAGCTACTGAGCGTAGACTGAAACAGTGCCCCTGCGTGGACCTATGAGTCTCGATGTAATCGGCATAAGAAGAGTCATAGTGGCCAGTGAGCACGACAGGCAGATACAACAAAGCAACAGCCCCATGCCTGATGTTGGCGCTAGGTACTTTGCCACCCTTACAGCAGCTGCCCAATGAACAGTACGGTGTCTCCTTGGTGCAACAAAGCGGGCAAGGATGCTGAGAGGGAAGGCGAGGTCCGGGCGAGTACAAGTCATCAGGTACATGAGGTAGCCCACAAGCTCTGGTAAGGACCACTAGGCTCAGACGGCTTGTCAGGGAAGGGTCCAGTGTGTCTGTGGTCAACAGCACGAGGAGTATGTTGTGCAATGGAGAACTGAAACCCAAACCGCTAAAGGACCTACTGCACCACATGTGACTGGGTCAGGGTGATGGTGCGAACTGCTCTGTCCATGATGATCTGCAGGCCAAGGTAGTGGCGCAGCTCACCAAGATCAGTGCACGTGTGTCTCCTATGCACTTCGGACTTCACGTCTGCCAAAGCAACCCTGTCAGCAGTGGCGAAGACCAGGTCGTCGACGTAGACCAGTACAAAGAAAGATGGGGAGCCGCGATGAAGAAACAACAATGGGTCGGCAGAAGACGGTTGGAAACCAAGGCCAGACAAGGTAGAGCGAACAGTCTTGTGCCACTCACGACGTCTGAGACTTCGCTGGGTCCCAGGAGGGAAAGTGCCAGTGAAGGCAGAGGGACGACGCAGCCAGACCTCCTCGTGTAGGCTACCCTGAAGGAAGGCAGTGGAGAAGTCGAGAGAGTGTAACTCTCTTTGTGCTGCCACGTGAAGTAACACCCGAAGAGTGGTCATCTTCGGGGTAGGCGCGAAGGTCTGAAAGAAATCAAATCCCTCGCACTGACCGAAACCTGTAGCCACATTACGCGCCTTAAAGACAGGAGCGGGTCTCGGTGGCCGCTTCACCTTGAAAATCCACATGCCATCGACTACGTTTGCCCCCGTAGGGGGAACCTCATCGATGCTTGTGGATCTATAGGAGGACATCTCTTCGTCCATGACAGCTCTCCACTGAGAGGCCCAAGGCCCTAACACTGCCTCAGCGTAAGTGCGAGGAGTCGGAATGTCAAGGGCGTCGAAGTCTCCCTCAGACGCGACCAGCATGGCACAGGCGAAGCAGCTACCAGGACTCTAGCTCGAACTGCATGTCCTCAAGGGCGTAATGGCCAAGGGCAGGCTCACCCCCGATGTTCAAGGGACGGGTAGGAGGAGCAGCCATGACACGAGAGATGTAGTCATGGTGGCGAGTAGCGGGAACTCAGTGACAGCAGCAGTAACGGCGAAAACAAGGGATATAGAGGCACGAGGGTCAGTAACAAGAGAGGCGAGAATACGAGAGTGAACAGGATGGTACGTGCAGTACTAGTCAGTAACAAGAGTAGAAAGGGAAGTAGTAAGGGCCGACTCAGGGGGAGAAGGAAGCACAGACGGAGACGTATGGGAGGAGCAAGAACAAAACAGGACAGTACGAAGGTCAGTAACGGGAGCAGGGGACGAGGGGCGAGCAGCTGGAGTTTGCCGCTACTCACCGCCCTAACTACGCCACTCGTGTCGTGGCTGCTCCTCCTACCCATCCTCTGGCCGTCGGGGGTGAGTCTACTCTTGGCTGTGACGCTCTAGAGGACAGGCAGGGCGTGATGCAACGGGACGGGCAGGGCGCGACGCGACGCGACGGGTAGGGCGCGGCGCGACGGGTAGGGAGGCGCGACGGGACAGGCAGGGCGCGATACATTGGGCAGGAAGCCGCGACGGGCTCGAGGGGAGGGGACAGGACGGGCGCGACGGGCGCTAGGGGATGGGACGGGAGCGGCGGAAGGGTGCTGAGGGCGTGGTAGGCTAGGCGCAATGAGCGCGAGAGGCTCAAGCGGGAGGAACGTGATCCAACAGGATCCTAACCTAGGTGATACCATGTCAGAAACGGAATGATGTATGTGCTACTGTGAGTTGGGGTACATAAACCTAACCCTAACAACTGTACCCCACATGATATGCCTTACTACAGGCTACACCGTTTGACAGTTTGTTCATGCCTTCGCTCACATTTGTACTCGTTTGACTCTTCAGTGTAGCTCGCTCGTTCCATTTTACACGTAACACTTGGTCATGGCCATATTCCTCGGACCATGATTTTTTTAAGCAAGCAACAACTCCCTAACTATTGATTTTTCACTCGAAGAGACAGACGCCTCTCAGCATACGAGGAGCCCCTGCCCTCGTGCTCTCTTGGAAACATGTGATGTTACGACCGATGTGAGAGTACGACGGCTTTGCTATGATTTACTTGCTTATGCTTTATTATGCATTATCTAGCTTAGCTTTGCTTTATTTTGCTTGCTTTTGCTTTACTATATTTATTATAGTTATAGGCACCGAACTAGGTTGAGTGCACCGAATTCTAGGCTTTTTGGTTGCCACCGAATTGCCTTCTACCGAATTCGGGAAGGACCCGTTCGGGATGCTTCGCGACCCGCGGAACCTTCTAGTAACACCCGGGTTACTGCCTTTGTGTCGAGCCTATATATAGCCTCGCCTTGTACCCAGGTGCATTATTCAATAGTTTATTCTTTCTTGAACCAGATCCTCACACTTGGTATCAGAGCTTGTTTACACTCGAGTTCTTCTTCCGCTTAAAACCGGCCTTTAAAAACCGCGGGGGCGACGACGAACGCGCCGATACGGGTATGTAAAACCAGTTCCGTGCGAATTTTTCTAAGTCCCCCTCGATTCGGTTTTGAACACCCCTCACGAATTTTGGTGAAAAGGTTGGAATTTCAACCGTTCGATCGATTCGAATCTCAACGGCCCAGAAATTTTCGCCCAAAAAAGTTGGAATTTGGAGCGTCGGATCGAGTTTCTCTTCAACGGCCCAGATCGAACGCGAATTTCGCCTAGGGGAGAATTGCGCAACCTAAATCGAGCTCGTCGATTCTACAGTCAATTCGACTCGCAGTAAGTCGACCAGCACCCAAAATTCAATTATTTTCGTCGCGCTTCTTTCTGTAAATCACCAATAGGGAGGGAAATTGAGATTTCTTTATACGAAAAAATCGCGGAATTACGTGCTGAGCATGAGCAAATATTTGCGGCGCTCCCACGACTCGAAAAACTCCTTGCGAACCAATCGGTAGCCGCAGCAGCAGCAGAAGCGACGACGGCGACACCGATAATTGTACCTGCGACAACGGCAGCAGCTACAATAAATCTCGAAGCAGTAAAGCCGAGGCGACCAGACGCGTTCGATCCTAGAGCGAAAGGGAGCGACGTCCGTCGATTTGTAGCTGTACTAGAAAATTTCTTCGAAGCCGTTGGATGCACGACCCTCAACCAAGACGCATTGCGCATACGGCTCGCAGCAACACTGTTACGAGGCCCAGCTCTAGAGTGGATTAGCAATAGATTTGTCCAAGGCGAAGAGGCGTGTGCGCAGTTTCGGGCAGCACTGATCGAACAGTTCGACGCGTTGAACAGTAGCTACTACGGAACACGACGCAACAAGCCAAATAGTGGCATGGAGCGATTGGCACCACCCACGACTGCCGACCCGATGGAGAACGACAAGGACGATGCGACGCAGCGGCTAGCAAAAAATGCGACGTGCGAATTTTGCGGCGCTACAGGACATCGTATCTTGGCGTGTTGGA